TTTGGCGGGTCCGGGCTGGGGATTCGAACCCGCCACCTTAGGTGTACGTGGCTGGCGCCTTAGCCGGTTGAGCTATAGGCGCCGAGCCTGATACAGGGATTTGCCCTAGAATTTTTAGTTAAAGTAGCCAAGAAGTCCCCTTTTGGCCTAACTCAAGTGGAGCCTAGCCTCTGCCACTTGCCACAGAAGTTGTTATAACACACCTCCTATCGGATGATTCAACATCATCCTCCCTGCAAGCAGAAATTCCCACAGACACCACTGAAGGAAGAATAACATGAACAGAGAACAATGCCCTAGTTCCAAATTCCTGGTTCTGCCTGAAATTGGAGAAACTGTCCAACCTGTTGACAATCCTTCCTCCCAACCCCGCTGCAGGCTAAAACTGCAGAATCACCATCTCCAGATGCAAGACATGGCTGCAACCAAACAGGCTCTCAAAAGCCAAGACACAGACAGAGAGGGTCAACGTCTTGTCCTGCCCACAATGTGACTTCAGTCCCATGCCCCAACCTCAGGCCTCCATTTCCTAAATATAGAACACACACACCTCCCATGTACTCAAATACTGTATGAGTACCCAACATGTGCTGGGCACAGTTCTAGAACTGAGAATATGCCCAAGAGGATATCAGAGCTCTGAGCAGTTGCTATCAAGGCTGGCAATGAATCAGTAAGATAAAACCCACAGTCAATGATCTCAGGAGGTAAGGAGCATAGGAAGGCAATAAAAGAATAAAGTTAGGGGGTAGAGAGCAGCTGGGGGCAACTTCGGAGCAAGAATCAGACAGAGCACATGAACAGACCAAAGGAGGGTGAGAGACTGATCCATGTAGATCCCAAGAAAGAACATGGGGGAATAGCCAGTGCAAAGACCCTGAGGTGGGACCCAAGTTCATATACTCTAGAAACAGGGAGAAGGCAGGGAGCTAAAGAACAATGAGGGGGCATAGCACTGGAAGAAATGACATCAGAGAGGCCAGCCGGGACCAGACCCTGCTGAGCCCTGGGCCACGTGAGGAGTTTGGACTTCATGGTAAACATACAGGGAGCTGCTGGGTATTTTAAGCAAAGACTGGGTGACAGTCTGCATTTCTGAAAGGCAGACCCCATTCCTGGGCTGCCATGAGGAGCAGTGTTCTCCAGAAAGATCTCTCGCTCCACCTGCACCAGCCAAGAGGGCAGCCACCAGACACACACACCTGCTGAGCATCTGACATGTTGCCAGGGTAACAAAGGACCTGCCTTTTTAGTTTGATTTTGTTGAAATCAATTTCAATTTAAACCACCACACAGGGCCAGTGGTGGCCACACTGCATAGTTTAGGGAAGGAATTGTAGGACAGGGGATAACTGGAGGGGCCTGGAAGGACCGAGTGAGACATCTTTATGGCTTAGATTATGAGCCAGGAGGTAGGGGGAGAGCTCAGGATCCTCCGTGGAAGTCAAGAGCTCAGGCAGGAGAAAGGGAGGGCTCAGGATCCTCCGTGGAAGTCAAGAGCTCAGGCAGGAGAAAGGGAGGGCTCAGGATCCTCCGTGGAAGTCAAGCAACCTGAGCTCCCATGCTGGATGGGGGATGGAAGAGGAAAGGGAACTCAAACTGACATTCGAGGGCCCAAACTGAGCAACCAAGGTGGGGGTGTTTCGGGGACTGGCACACAACTGAAACACACCAAAGACACCAGGGGACATTAGGCCAGCACCCATAATCACACCCATGTTGGCAGCCACACACCACTGAACAGGAGGATTGCATGCAACACACAGGCCATCTTTAGTTTCTTTTCACCCCAGAATGGGGTAAAGGACCCTTCCCACCAAGCCGTACTCTCAAGTTAAAAGTCACAGTGTGGGAGGGAAGATGAACACCCCCAAATATGTCCACACCCTACTCCCCAGAGCCTCCCACTAAGTTAGATCACAGGACAAAGGGGAAGTGAAGTTGCTCATCAGCCGCCTTTAACACTGTTGTCCTCGAGTACCCAGGTGGGCTCCATGTAGTCTCAAGTGTCCTTATAACAGGAAGAAGAGGGGCAGAGAGAGGGTGGGAGGAAGAGGTGGGAGGACAGAGAAGGCACAGGATGCCACCTTGCTGACCTTGAAGATGGAGGGCGGGCTGTGAGCCGGCCCGTGCAGGCAGCCTCTAGGAACCGGAAAAGGCAAAGACCCTGATTCCCCCCAAGCACCCCTGAAGGGGATGCAGCCTGCTTCCCTTGGTCTTAGTCTAGTGAGCCCTGCACAGACTTCTGCACTACAGAACTGCAAGATAATAAGTTTGTGTTGTTCTAAGTCAGCACATTTGTGGAAGTCTATTGAGGCAGCAATGAACACACACAGCATTTCCTCTTTTTCAGATCCTCCTTTTGCTGTCCTCATAATCTCCAACCTCATGGGATTATCAAGAGTACAGAGGCCAGAGATTAGGCAGACGTGGGACAGATAAACTCCTTACCGTCCCCCCACCCTGCTGCCCTCCCGGCACGGGGACGACACGTACCAAACCTGCAGGTGCTCACATTCTGAATTCCAGACTCCATGCATGGGCAGAAGCCCTCGTTTGGCGGGTAGATTGACCCATTGGCAAACAGGGTTTTGGGAGCCACGAAGCGAAAGGTGGGGATGCCTTGAAACACCCCCGGCTCCTTGTATATTAGCTTCATGGACCTGCAGGGACAGACCAGGAAGTGATTGAAGCTAAGATCTGATAGAAGAACTGAAGTCTGGTAGAAGGAGAGAGGACTCGCAGACCACACAGCTGGAGGCAGGTCCTGCTGAAGGCTGCCCAGATCCAGCCACTTCTCCCCACCCACACTGCCACCTCTTGGGTCCTCACTACCACTATCTAGCCTGGGAACTGCAGCAGCCTCCTAATTGGTCTCCCTGCTCCAACCCTGCCTCCCCACCCAACACCAACTTATCCTCCCCAGCCAGAAGGAGCTATAAAACAAGAACAAAATACATTGTGTCCCTGCTGAACCCCAGCAATCCTTTCTAGTCTAACCTGCAATTAAGATCTGCCGTCCTTATCAAGACCCACAAGCTTCTATGGGGTCTAGCTCCCCCCACCCTCTGCCTATCCTCATGCCTCCCCTCAGGCTCCTTGCTGATCCTCAAACATGTGCCCCAGGGCCTTTGCATATGCTGCTCCCTCTCCCTGGAATATCCTTCTCTCAAATCTCTACCTTCCACATCAGATTCTCGCTCTGCTGTCGCCTCCTCAGTGGCAGCACTGTCCCCCACACCCACCCCTCTCACCCTCCGTCTATTCCCCCTGTTGTACTTCTTGAAAGTACTTCTCAACTTGAACATGCCCTGTGCTGTTCTTTCCAGAGCAGCCATTCATCACACATGGCCACCTGCTGCCCTTTGAAATGATAAGCCCAAATCGGGATGTGCTGTAAGCGAAATACATTCCAGATTTCTAAGACTTGCTACCAAAATTTTTTTAATCTCTTCAATAATATTTGAAATGATTGATATTTTGGAAATATCAGGCCAAATAAAATACAGTATTAAAGATAAAAAGACCCATTTCTTGTTACTTTTTATAATTGCAGCTACTGGAAAATTTAAAGTTGCAGTATGTGACTTGCATTATATGTTTATTGGCAAGTGCCAGCTTAGACAATAGTATTATGTCAATGTCAAATTTCCTCATTTTGATGATGGTATTGTGGTTCTTAAAAAAATGTCCTTGTTTTTAGAAAACACCCACTGAAGTATTTAGGCACAAAGGGCACATGCCCAGAGTACTCTGAAGCAGATAAGCCACAGTTCACATTAATGACTTTTCCAGAGTGACTGAAATAGAACAGAGGACACAGCAATGCCCAGAAAAGGGCTCCAGGGACCACGGCACATGTCCGGCCTCCCGGGTTACAAAACTGAGCCTGCAGCTGAGCCCTCAGCATCCAAATGGTAACTTTGGGATTTTTCTTCTTTTTCAGATATTTCTGCCATAGGGAAACTACCTCTTGCCTGCCTTTCACAGCTCCCTGATTGCAACCTTGACCATGTCCCTCTCCCTTCCTTCCTGACCAGCAGACTGTCTTTAGGCCTTGCAAAAGCTTCACCATCTGGAGTCTGGCTCTTCAGAGTGTAGCCAAAGAGCTAAGGCCATGGGCGAATGAGCTAAATATACAAGGATCAAACGCTTTCCAAGTGCCCATCAAAGGCCACTGGATTCGGCTATGGCCATGAGCCATCTAGGAAGCAGCCTCCCCAGAGCCTCAGAAGGTCCCACATCAGAGCAGTTACCGGCAGGCCTCAGGGCTGTAGAATTCCAGCGAGGATTTGGGAGTCATGAACGGTGCCCACATTTGCCCGGAAGTTCCGTTAATCATGTTGCACTGATCAGAATGCCAGTAGTTGACCTGGAGGGAAGCGTTCAGACTCCATCACTCAGTACAGCCAAGATGCCTTAATAAGTGCTCTCAGGCACTGCACACTTAACCTGACAGTCAATGCCCAAGACTGGCACAGTGGGAAGAGAGTAGGCTACATAGACAGGCAGACAGAGAGACAGACGGAAGACCCGCAGCAGCTTCCTGACCCCTGACTGTGGACCAGTGAATGTGTAACTCTGCTAGGGACTCAGTTTCTCCAGCTGTAAAATAGGCCTCTCACCCACATCTCCAGGCTGAACCAAGCACGAAGCACAGTAACCAGGTGAGAGGGAGGGGAGGCGTTTACCTTCCTCACTTCTCAGAGTGCAAGTCAAGAGACATAGCCTCAGCCTTTGCAAAATCAAGACCTCGTCTCTACAAAAAATAGAAAAATCAGCTGGGCATGATAATAGTCCCAGCTAGCTACTCAGAAGGCTAAGGCAGGATAATTGCTTGAGTCTAGGAGTTTGAGGTTGCTATGAGCTATGATGGTATCACTGCACTCTGGCCTGGGCAAGAGTAAGATGTGTCAAAAAAAAAAAAAAAAAAGAGAGAGAGAGACCTCCTGGACCTCCTGAAAGCAGATGAAGTCAGGAAATGGCACACAGGTAAATGACTTAAAATCATAATCATAATGGCAGCCACCCTGGGAGACTTCAAAACAGAACTGATCACAATAGCTTCTTCTGTGGCGTAAGACCTCCACTCAACAAAACAGAAGGCTCACTCTCCAACCTTCTGCATGATGAAAATTTCATAAATCTTGTACACATGTATATTACATTGAAATATACAAGCCATAAAGAATATTAGTAGTGTCTATTAAGAGCAGTTATGACAAATTGCAGCTGGTGATCCCCAGCCCTCAGGGTCTTTACAGTGATGACCACAGGAAGCATTTTGTAGGCAGAAGGCATACCATTACAAAATTGTTTTTTCAAATATTGGATAAGGGCCATGAAGGTGAAAAAAGCCAGTTGCAAAACAATGCGGGGTAATAGGATTTCATTATGTTCAAAGGAGAAAACCCCCCTCGCTCTCTGTGTACACACAGGTGTGTAGATAAAAATAGACCAGAAGAATATATCCGATAACTATGGGTTTCCTAGATGGCTGGGGGTGAGCGTGGAGTGGCAGAGGGGGCAGAAAGGCCCTTGATGTATCTCTCTATTATTTTACTTTTCAATGCGAATGTCTTCCAGGGTTTCTAGTGCAGTATTTTGAAAACATTTTTGCACAAAAGAAGAATCAAAGGAATAAAGAGCTCAGTTCCTAGCAGACATCAGGTACTGGATAAGGAGTCACTCATCCCCACCCAGCCTTCCTGCTGATGGAGCCTTAACCACAGGTGACATCCCAGACTCCAAGAGGGTTTGTCCTCCCAGCCCCCTCCTCACGACAGATGCCACCACTCTCCCATCTCCCTGGGCGTAGGGCCCTGCCTCTCGTCCCCACCTTGCTGAGTCCATTCCACTTGTCCACGAGGTGGATCCTGCTCATGTTTTTGACTCCCGTGAACACGGTGAAGATTCCAGAGTCGGAGTTGTTGAGCTGCAGACATGGCAAGGAAGAGCATCTTTAAACCTTCGGTCTGGGGTGAAGGATCCAAGCAGGCCATCAAGCCACCTATAGAGTGCTGGGCTGTGCCCTCTTCGCTCTCCCAGGAGGACAAGGCCATCTTGTGTTTCAGAGCCATGTCCCTGGCAACTGGGGGTCAAGAGGAGGAGAGCTAGGAGCTCTCTAGGACGGACACTGTCTGTGAGCTGGAGCCTCCCACCTCCCCTCTCTAAGCCCAGAAGAGTTCTGGCTCTCCTCTTCAGCAAGCCCCACCCCATCCCAACTCTAAGTATTGCCAGGTGAGCACTTGGATTAAGGGAAAAAAGAAGTGGCATGTCATTTGGACTGGACCGTGCACATGTCTTTCTCTATGCTCTCTCCTGCTGCCACAGGGCCATGGAAGTGTGTAAAAACAAAGCCTCCTTTGGCCTGGGTCCTCAGTGGTCGACCACCATGAGCAAGGGCCCCGGTCACTCATAGTGGATATGAAGTGAAAGAAAGAAAGAAATTTGCATTGTTCTGAGCCACTGAGATTCAGGGGCTGCTTGTCACAGCAGCATAAGCCAGCCTATCCTAACCTGGCGAGGACCTAAGGTCCTTTCTAGACAGTAAGACCCAGGCTTTGGCACTCTGAAGGCCAGGTCTCTAATGAAGAACAAGCATGCAAAACAAAGATAGCCTCTGCTTCAGGGTAAAATCTAGAAGCACACTGAGGAGCTCTATGAAAGCTGACTGGCCTCATGGCTGTATCGATCACAAACTAGTTAAGCAAACAGCTCCAAAGCAGAGCCCAGCACAAAGTCACACCCTGGCCTCCTAATGGCTGTGTATCTTTGTCAGGTCACCTGCCCACCCAGGGCTACTCCAGCCTCACACTTCATTAGCACAAGGCCAGGCTAGCAGTGGCTATTACCAAGGGACACCAGGATGTTACAGGAACTAATATGTAAAAAGAACTGAACATAATGCCCTGGATGGGTGAGAGCTCAAAATTCTCACCTATATCATTAGTATTATTTTTATTTTTGTCTTAAGAAATGGGCTGACCCAGGCTGGAGTGAGTGGCACTATTATAGCTCACTGCAGCCCTGAACTCCTTCTACCTGTGATCCTCCCACCATGGCCTCCCAAAGCACTAGGACTACAGATGTGTTCCATTGCACTCTGCCTATTATTGTTTTTCCTTCTTATCTTTCTTTCTTTCTTTCTTTCTTTCTTTCTTTTTTTTAGATAAAGTCTCACTCTATTACCTAGGCTGGAGTATAGTGGCATTGTCATAGCTCACAGCGACCTCAAACTCCTGGACTCAAGTGATCCTCCTGGCTCTGCCTCTGGAATAGCTGGGACGATTGACTTCTGCCACTAATTTTTTCGTACAGCGGAAGATCTCCCTATTGCCCAGGCTGGTCTTGAACTCCTGGGCTCAATGGATCCTCTCACCTCGGCCTCCTAAAGTGCTAGGATTATAGGCATGAGTCACCACACCCACCTATTGTTGACAGTATTAATAAATGCTCACCCAGTAGGATCCTTAAATAATAATTATAATAGCCGAAGTATATTAAAGACTGCCAATTACTACAAGAGTCCACTCTCTCCTTGCTCCGTCTCAGGGCATTAGTGCACCCACATGGCAGGCGACATTCCCAGCATCTCCTGAAGCCAAGAATAGCCACAGGACTTAGTTTGGGCCAGTGTAAAGTAAATGGAAATTGTTTTTCTCCCATCCCAAGAGGGAGGCAGCTGGGCCATGCTGTGTTATCCTCACCTTCTCCACTTTCTCCCCACCCCACCCCCACTTCTTCCTTCCTGCTGTGCTGCCTAGAGAGTGAATATGACAGTAGGCGCTCTAGCAGACGTCTTGGATCATGAGGTTCTCTTTTTTTTTTTTTTTTTTTTTTGAGACAGAGCCTCAAGCTGTCCCCCTGGGTAGAGTGCCGTGGCATTACAGCTCACAGCAACCTCCAACTCCTGGGCTCAAGCGAGTCTCCTGCCTCCGCCCCCCAAGTAGCTGGGACTACAGGCGCCCGCCACACGCCCAGCCATTTTTTGGTTGCAGCCGTCATTGTTGTTTGGCGGGTCCAGGCTGGGGATTCGAACCTGCCACCTTAGGTGTACGTGGCTGGCGCCTCAGCCGGTTGAGCTATAGGCGCCAAGCCATGAGGTTCTCTTGAACATGGAAACCACACCCAATGGATGGCAGAGCAGAATAGCAGAAGGACTTCTAGATCACTTAGGACTCTGACACCATCACACCAACAATGAACAGCCTACTGCTAGATTGCTATTTCGAGGTTTTCATAATATATGGTCAGACATGGATTACAACTGTGTTAGTGACTTTGTTAAAACTTGATTTGCAAAGCACTTCAGAATTTATAAGATGCTTTTACAGAATCATGTCTCTTACCCTAGACTTGCCAATTTACCCACATAACCAGAACCTATCTTCCTGGCCAAAAATGTATACAGAATCATGATTCACCACCACCATCATCACTCTGTACTAGATCAACAGAGCCTAAAGAGACAGGTGAGACTGGAGCAACCCAGAGGGCTCATTAAAACCTGCATTGAGGGCTCGGTGCCTGTAGCTCAGTGGCTAGGGCACCAGCCACATACAAAGGAGCTGGGGGGTTCAAACCCAGCCTGGGCCTGCCAAACAACAGTAACAACTACAACCAAAAAATAGCCAGGCATTGTGGTGGGCACCTGTAGTCCCAGCTACTTGGGAGGCTGAGGCAAGAGAATCACTTAAGTCCAAGAGTTTGAGGTTGCTGTGAGCTGTGATGCCACAGCACTCTACTGAGGCCAGCATAGTGAGACTCTGTCTCAAAAACAAAACAAAACAAAAACACCCTACATTGAGGGAGTAAAGGTCAGGGGCCAGCGGTCAGAGTTAAGAACCTACATGGACCTGATCTTGGCTTAGGCCCCTACCACAGGTCAAGATTAAGAAAAACTAGGCAGCTCAGGGCAATGCCATGGTTGATATTTGTGATCTGTCCCCCAGCAGCCAGTTCCCTTCCTTCAGCAAAGACACCAATTGTCTAAGCTAAGCCCCAGTCACATCATTTGATCCTGGATCAAGCTGCACCTGAATCTAAACCTAGTGTTTCAGTTACATGAGACCACAAATTCCCTATTTTGCTTAAGTCAGTTTGAGTGAGGTTCTCTGACATTTACAACCACTGCCCCTGGGTGCCCAGCCAGTTTCCCAAGGATCTGGTGTCTGGTTTCCAGCCTGTATCAGGGAAGGGTAAGACACAGACTCTGAACATGTGGCTTCTCACTGGGCCACACTTACCTCAGCAAATAACCCGAACTTGCCCTTCAAGGGGAACATGCCTGGGAAGAACTTATTGATCATGTTCACAAGGGGGTCATCGTAGCCCCACATGATCTCACCAACAGTGCGATTCATGAAGGCCCGTTGGCCAAGGGTGCTCAACGCCAGGGTCAAGGCCAGCTTTAGGCCCATGGGCTTGTTCTCCATCATCATCGAGGCACCCTGCAGAACAGAGGGATACCATAGGTCAGGGGCCAGCTGTGGCTGGCCCTTCCTCCCTGACTTCAGCCAGGACTCAAGGCATAGAGCCCATGTAGGAAAATGCACAGGCCCAGGAGTGGCCACCTGGGACACCTGGGGCATCCACAACATTCTCTGATCCTTTGGTATCAGGACCACACGTGCTCTTGATAGCACCACCCCTGTCCACCTGAGGGTATACAGGCTAAGTTAACTCCATGCCCAGACCCAAAGGTAGGCACATGGCTCCAACGTGGCCAATCAGACACATGCCCCAGCCCCTGTGGCTACAGTGATTGGTTTGGGAGCATGTTTGGAGCCCAATCAGAGCCAACAATCTACAAGAAAACATTCTGCTAGGGACACAAAGAGGATGCCCCTCTGCAAGGCTGCAGCCACCTTTAAGGGCAGGCTTGCCAGGGAATGGAGCCTGCACACCTATGGATAACCCCTGCTTGCACCCTGGATCAAGGCACACCTGAAACTAGCCCAACCCCTACCCCTTTCAGCAACACAGGCCCATAAATTCCTTTTTTTCTTAAGGCAGTTTGGAGTGCATCTTACTTCACTTATAAGCAGAAAAGAGTCTTAATAGGGACTATCTACTTCTACTTCTAACACTGCCCACCTGAACACCAAGAACCACATGTCACCCGATATCTAGGGGCTTAGAATATAGGCAAATTGGTTGCTTAAGTTTTGACTTGTTATGGAGGTACTGTCTTGACTCTTGGTTTATTTTTTTTTTTAAGGGTCCTCTTCTAAAAGCCAATCTCTGCCTCTAGACGAGTAGATAGACATCTAGTATTTCCTAGAACAGACTGCAGCGGTCTGCTTCTGCAAGAACTTACCATGATCTCCTTCCCTTTCTAAAAATTTTTTAAAGGCAGTAAACACACAGTTTTAAAAAGTAAATGGGCTCCCTGAGGCAGCCCATTGCTGCAGGATCTGGGGTATTCTTCCAAACACAAGCTGTCACAGAGTTAGCAAGCTCCGGTCAGGCGGCCTACCACCTGTTTCAGTACAGTTCGTGAGCTAAGAATATTTTCTACAATTTCATAGTTCAGCATCCATAAAGGTAATTTTATTGCAGCATAGCCATGACATTACCTTCTGAGGATGCTTTTGCACTTGAATGACAGAACCGAGCAGCTGCTACAGGGGCCCTTTTTGGAACTCACCGAGGCCTCCAAACCTGTAATATGTACCACCCCGGCCCTCAGGAAGGCTGCTTTCAAGGCTGGGCCTGTGCTGGTGTCTGGAAACTTGGATTTTGGGAGGGGTTCTTCCATTTCCTGGCAACAGGGAAGCTTACGCTGTTTGTATGCACGGTATAGTTTATGCTGGACACCTGCTTTCCTAATGGCCACCTGGGATTTTATCACGTGCCAAGCAGAGGGTGTTCACATGACCCAGACCCAGTAAAAAGCCCTGGGCATTGAGTCTCCTGCGGGCTTCTCTGATAGATAACACTTCACATGGGTTGTCACAACACATCCTTGGGGGAGAAAAGCATGTCCCATGTGACTCCAATGGTCTTCCTGAGACCACCCCAGGCACACTTTGTGCCCTGCTGCTGTAATAAATCTTAGCTGCAAGTCTGCTCAGCAAATCAGCAGGTGGTTGGTCTTGGGAACCCTGATACACACAGGAAGCAGTCAGTAAATCTGGCCAACTCTCCTTTTTTTTTTTTTTGAGACAGAGCCTCAAGCTGTCACCCTGGGCAGAGTGCTGTGGCATCACAGCTCACAGCAATCTCCAACTCCTGGGCTCAAGCGAGTCTCCTGCCTCTGCCTCCCAAGTAGCTGGGACTACAGGCGCCCGCCACAATGCCCAGCTATTTTTTTTGGTTGCAGCGTCATTGTTGTTTGGCAGGCCCGGGCTGGATTTGAACCTGCCAGCTCCGGTGTATGTGGCTGGTGCCTTAGCCTCTTGAACCACAGGTGCCGAGCCCCAACTCTCACTCTTGACTACACAGAACAGAGGCCTTGACCATAGCTCCCCTCAATGCCACAGACCATAGCCTGGGGCACCTGTTCTTGGAGATTTCTGAGTTGCGGGTTGAAAAGGAAAAGGGGATCCCTCTGGCTAGTACTTCCAAACCAGAGACAGAGGGGCCGATCCGGGAAACGCAGCAGTCAGCTAGGGTGGCAGCAACAACACAGGGCTGAGAGTTGCCACACTCTGACCCCGCAGGTGCCTGCTCTCCTGGCAAGGGGCAGGCAGGAAAAGAGACAGAACTCCCTTGGGGTCAAGGGCAGGTTTGGAGTGGTGCGGGCCAGGGGGGCAGCCTCACCAAGACCAGGATGTTGGGCATGATGATGTAGTCACTCTCCAGGCCGTGGGACTTGGCGGGCTGGAACCGGTAGCTGCGGTACTCGAGGTAGGACACCGTGTCGTTGTCATTGAAGGTGATGTTGCTCTTATGCCTGAACTCCCTGTGTGGGGAAGCCAGTGGGTTAGCGACACTCCCTGAAACTGGCCTACAAACCTGTGTGGGAGCCACGGGCCCTGGGATGTCCACCCACAGCTCCAACCCAGCGGTGCGGAAGCTAAGCATTGTCCCTCCCCCAAGCCCATCCCCCCACTGCCCACTGTAGACATGGTGCCACCACCACGCAGCCTTGTTCTGCTCTCCCGGACTCAGCATGGCCAGCGCCTCTGTAAGACTCACCCAAGTCTCCTCCAGAGAGTACCCCGAATCCCTGCACCCAGCGGTCTCTCACCAGCATCCCCTGCAGGTCCCTGCTCCTTCAGGGGAGGCACAGTGTTTAGGAACACGCCAGAATCCTGTCTCTGTCACTCACTGCCTGTGCCTCAGTTTCCCCATCTATAACACAGGAGTAATAACAAGACCTGCTTAGCAGGCAGGGCTGCTGTGAAGGTGAAATGAGTCAAAACACGTAAAGCCTGAGGCACAGAAAGCACTAGGTAAATATCAGACGCTGCTGTCCTCAGAATCTCCTGCCTCATCAATCCCTTCTCCACAAAGCATCCCAAATCTTTGAAAGAGGAAATCAGACCGTGTCATTGTCTCAACCACACCTGCTTTTGCACACAGGATAAAATTGAGGCTCACAGGTATGAAGATACTTCCCCTAGGCCATGGTCAGGTACAGAGCAAGGCCAGAAAACTGAGTATGACCCGGGGCTTTCCACAAACAGCATATCCCTTCCCAGTCTGCTCTCCTGGACAGGGTTGGGAGACAGGTCCCTGCTCCTGGTCGCATGTGTGTCCCTCTGTCTTTCTCTCTCTCTTTCTCTCTTTTTGTCTTTTTCACAGATGTACTCTCCACCCAGACCCATATCAGTGGTGCCTCACTGCCGCATAAAGAACTTCTCTGGCTCCAGCACTTTCCCCTTCTGTGCCTGGCCTGCTTCTGGAACAATCTCTGGGACTCAGCATAGCAGCCCCCACTTCCTGTCCATTGTGAGACCCTACCCTTGCCCAGCCTCAGCTGGCCCTTCAGCTCTCACCTGCACACAGCCTCACCTATACATGGCCTCACCAGCATATGGCATGGCCTCACCGGTGCACAGTCTCACCTGTGCACAGTCTCACCTGCACATGGCATGGCCTCACTTGTGCATGGCCTCACCTGCATATGGCACAGACTCACTGGTGCACAGTCTCACCTGCATATGGGACAGCCTCACCTGCGCATGGCCTCACCTGTGCATGGCACGACCTCACTGGTGCACAGTCTCACCTGCATATGGGACAGCCTCACCTGTGCATGGCCTCACCTGTGCATGGCACGACCTCACTGGTGCACAGTCTCACCTGCATATGGTACGGCCTCACTGGTGCACAGTCTCACCTGCATATGGGACGGCCTCACCTGTGCATGGCCTCACCTACACATAGCCTCACCTGTAGACATAGGGTCCACGCTCCTGCACTTGTGGCTTCTCACCCTTCAGGATCTCCTCGGGGTTGAGGATGTTAAAGAAGTAGACAGAGAGGTAGAAGGGAACAGGGATCTCCTTCCACATGTTGTAGGACAGGCTGCTGGGGTCGATGCGCACATTCTGCGGGGATGAGATCAACGTGTCTGTGAGGAGGCTGAGGGCCCTGTACCCCCACCCCACCGGGCAGCCCCAGAACAGCTGTCCAAGCTCAGCCATGAAAGGAGCTCCTGGACAGGAGGCTGAGGGAAAGCCCTTCACACAAACAGCTGTAGCTCCACAGTCTATAGAATTAAATAGGAACACATTCATGCTGTTATTTCTCAGAATGTGTCTTAATAGCAACGGCCAACACAGATGAAGGGACTGCAGCACCATCTAAAGGGGGCGCTGCAGCTCAGCAGCAGCACAGGGCACCCTACAGGGACGAATGTAGGCTCGGTGTGGCCACATGGATCATTCATTCATTCAACAAATACATTCAGAGCACCTACCACGTGCCAGGCACCGACCTAAGAGCCAGGGATGGGAGAGTGAACCAGGATGAGGGAGTGAACGAAACAGACCAATCTCAACTCCACAAGCTCTGCTGTACTGGGAAAGGCAGGTGCTAAACAATTGGGGTATAACACACGCTGTGGGATGGGGCAGAGAGAACATAAGTACAGAGGAGGAAGAGGATGGGAAGTGTGGAAAACACAAACCCAAACCCAAAGTGAGGGAGGCAAACCCGTGAACCTGGGAGAAAGGGATACTTCACAGAGAAGCAGGAGCCAGTGCACAGGCCTGAGGCCAGGAGATGTTTAGAGAGTCTGCGGCTGGCAAAGAGGCTGTGCAGCCAGGGCCGTGTTGTAAGGAGAGGAAAATGGAGACACTAGCCATGAAAACCAGAAATATAGGAATTTACATGAAAACTCCTCTGCAAGTTTCCTTGGTAGACTTAAAGGGCTGAAAAAAATAGGCCTGAAGTCCACTTGGCTTCTAATCGCAATTCTGTTCATCCAGATCTGCAATTCTCTGCCCCAGGGCTGCAGGGAGGTCCTGCCAACCCACCCAGGCCCCAGCCCAAGTCCAGCCTGGCCACATCACCCCTCAATGCCCATACCCTCTCAGAGCCCAGGCAGGGCGGACTGGCCGGGCCTATTAGATAGATGCTCAACATTGCAAAGCCAGGCGGCCAGGCAGTTGCATCACCTTCCACCTTCTTTCGAACACAGCCTTCCAGGACAAGGACAGCCACTCCCACTGTCCCCAGACACTCAGAACTGACACACAGAGAACCTGAGCCTGGCTCCACTTGGACACTTGGGCAAGTCAGCCCCTCTGAACCTCAGTTTTCCCATCTATACTATGGGGCTAATGATACTGTAGCCACAGCCGTGTCTGGTTTGACCTCAGCAGCATAAAGTTGAATTCATTGCCAAGAATTAAAACTGGGGGACTTAATATAAAATCTGGATTTTAAAGTACTTTTTTTTTTTTTTGAGGCCGAGTCTCACTATGTTGCCCTCGGTAGAGTGCTGTGGCATCACAGCTCACAGCAACCTCAAATTCCTGGGCTTAAGCGATTCTCTCACCTCAGCCTCCCTAGTAGCTGGGACTACAGGCACAGGCCACAATGCCTGGCTATTTTTGGTTGCAGTTCTCACTGTTGTTTAGCAGGCCCAGGCCAGGCTCCAGCCCTCCAGCCTCATTATATGTGGCCGGCGCCCTACTCACTGATCTACAGGTGCCAAGCCTGGATTTTAGAGTTCTATCAGAAAACCCAGGTGATCAGAGATTTGTCTTCATTTGTCATAACTATTTATTGATAAATACGTCTTTCCCCCAGCTGGGAGCACTCAGGGTCACCTCACAACCTGAATATCCACAGGTGCGAACCAAGTGATGAACAGACACAATACCAATGGAGTGACCCACGTGAGCTTCCCTGGGGCGCTGCTGTTCTCACTGCAGTCCCAGCCCCTGGCCAGCACCATGACCCTTTGAGGAAGCCACGATCACAATTATTATCCAGTTACAGGTTAGGAAACTGGGGCTGAAGAGAGGTACGAAGAGTCATTTGAGGGTTCAAAGGGGTCTGAGAAGGCTTCCTGGAGAAGGAGCTGGATCCGGAGTGGTCCCATCCCTCTGCATAGCGCTGCCCACAGCCCACAGGTGCCACTCCACCTCCTCCCAGCTCACAAGTCAGTCTCATGGCCTCCACCTGGGGCGGGCCCCATAACTCTGGGGCCCCTCCCTATACCTGGGGGATGCATCCCTAATACCACCTCAGAGAGGCCTCCCTGGCTTCCCTGTCTGCCACCGAGCATCACCAACACGCTCTGTACCCTTCACCACACTAACCGGGACCCAAAAGGATCTTGTTATTGGCACAGCCTCAACCCAGTGTGAGGGTCTGCAGCCTGCCTCTCCATGAAATGCTGGTGTCTGGACAGGTGTTAAGGGGAGACTTTCGAGGGAATGAAAGAATGAATGATGAATGAATGAACCTTTGCTCCTGACCCACCTCTTGGGAACTTAGACCTAATACAGCTTGGGTAGACTTCAGAGTCACTAAGCAGCTCAGCCCCAGGCCCAGGCCTCCCTCCTTTCTGCCACCCCCACATCTACCCCAGGAGGGGCTTTTGAGAAGGATGAACACACCTGTGTCTCCCAGGACAGGACCAGACCCTAGGGACTCCCCACTCAAACCTGCTGCCCCCAGAGTGTGGAGGGCCCCCCTCGTCCAGCCCAGCCCTGCTCTGTCCACTCTGTCCATGGAGGCCTGACCCAGAGCAAGCGGGTCAGAGGGAAACCCACACACCTGCTTCCCTCCATCACTCAGGTATTAGACTCAGCCCCCCTGGGTAAACTGAGTCCGAGAGATGCTTGGTAACAGGAGTCCCAGCACAAGTGGGACCCTGAATCCAACCTAAGGCCTGAGCTGCCTGGGCCATGATGGCTTGGAAAGAAAAGTGAGAGATAAACAGCAGGGTCCGGACCGGCTGGTGCAAACGCAACACCACAGCCCTGGGGAGCAGTGCAGGTTAGGCTGCGACCCCCCAACCTGGGTCAAATCCCACCCTACCCCTACCAGCTGGGGGACCTGGGCAGCATTCTCCCACCCCGCCCGGGCCTGTCCTGACCCAGTGCCTGCTGGTGCCCCTCTAGGAGAAAGCAGCATCAAAACTCAGGACCCTGGAAAACGTGTCAAGAGAAAGCAGCACTAACTACGTGTTCTCATCGCCAACACAAGTGGACGGGGCGGGGACTTCTTGAGGTGACAGGTACATTCAACACCTAGACTGAGGTGATGCGCCTCGGGTATGTGCGTGCATCCCACCTGTCACACTGTCATATTAAATATGTGCAGCTTTGCTATCAAGTACACCTCAATAAAGCTGTTTTTTAAAAACAAATAAACCAACTTGGTTTCCCTCCATTGCCTCCCTGCCCTGCTAGGTTTCTCAGCAGAGGCAGCTGGTCCCAGGCAAGCACTGGAACCCAGAACCCTGCTGTGTTATCCTCACGCCCTGGCCTGCTCACCCTGGCTCTGGGGATGAGTTGAGGCCAATCCAGTGAGTCACAGGATCTGGCCTCATGTCTACCTCTCTCGCTCATTTTCTCTCTTTTTCTGTCTCTCTCCAAAAGGAAGATTCCTCGGGGGAAGTGCTATTCATCTGGCACTGCAATGCCCACAGGGAATCTTCCATGACCCAGCTCTGCCCCTTCAGACTGGGTGACTTGGGCTGAGTCACTGACCCCTGTGAGTCTCAGTGTCCTCATCTGTACAATGGGCAGGAGAACAATGTCCACCTCATGAGCCACTGTGCTTAGAATAGGGTCTGGCAGATCCCGGGGCATCTGGAGGGTTAGCTGTGAGGTCACCTGGCATGAAATGACCCTTCCTCCTCTGCCCCACCTCCATGCTGGGTAAGGCACAGACTTTGCCCTGCTTTTGACTGGCAGGATAGCTTTGTCCCAGTCACACTAGACCACAGGCATCTGGACCAGGAAGCTGATTAGATAACGGCACCAGCAACTTGTGGCCTCTCGCCTAACATAGCTGATTCTGTGAGTCTGTCCCCACAGTCCCAGCCCAAGGTCAAAGATCCTGACCCTGGAACACAAAGTCGGGAGAGAGTGCCAAGGAGAGCCCTTATTGGACAACACTCCCTCCCATCCAAGCAGACCCTTTCAAGCCCGTTCCTGGATAGCTAGGAAGGCTGCCCAGAGGAGGTGACAGCTGATCTGGGTGTTTAAAAAATGAGCTGGGCTTTGCCGAGAAAAGGACATGGGCAGGAAGTGTCTGGCAAAGGGCACAGCCTGTGCTAAGCTGAGACGTCTTTAGGAGCATGACTGGCCTGAACATCCACTGATGACAAATATGTTTTGAAAGCGATGATGTATGATCCATCAACAGATAAACTGAATGATACTCAGTAATAAAAAGGAACCAAGGACCAATAAATGCCACGATATGGATGAACTTCAGAAGGGTTACCAGACACAAAAAGCTGTAATACATAGTATATACTCCCTTTATATGACATCTGAAAAGCTGACAACTCTGGAGCCAGAAGCCAGACCAGTGACAGCCAGGGGACTGGGGCAGCGGGAGAGGGCTGACATTAACCAGTGCTAGAAGACTGACTGAGCTGATGAAAATGTCCTGTATCACGCGGGCAGGAGGCGTAGTGGCCTCCCCTAAGGCTGAGGCGGTGGTGGGCATGTCAGGCGCGGACTGTTGGGCTCTGGGCTCTCCTCTTTCCCTTTGTTGGCGGGCAGAAGAGGCTGAAGCGGTAGGCGCTAGGCGCGGTCCCCTTTCCTCTCCCTCAAGCAACGTCCCCTGGCCCTCTAGCGCTGCTCTGTCTCTCCGACACAAGACTGTCCTAGCCCAGATATGGCTCGTGGACAGCAGAAGATTCAGTCTCAGCAGAAAAATGCCAAAAAGCAAGCTGTACAAAAGAAAAACAAGGACATGACCAGCAGGCTGCTGCCAAAGCTGCCTTAATATATACCTGCACTGTCTGTAGGACACAAATGCCAGATCCTAAGACCTGCAAGCAGCACTTGGAGAGCAAGCATCCTAAGACTCCACTTCCTCCAGAATTGGCTGATGTTCAGGCATACAGTTGTTT